TGCATGGTAAAACTGGGACACTTCGAAAAGTTACAGTTCAAGGGAAGTATCTCCATTTATCTGTCAGTTTCTCGTCAACAGAAAGAGAATAACACCTACTTATGAACATGTTACGAGGATTAAGTGAGATGATGTATACCAAGTGCCAGCACAGGGCCCGGAACCTGTCAGCATGCAAGTGTAGTTGTTGTATTACCATTGTGTCATTTCATTCATCTTACTCTACTTAACATCGCTTCAGATGGAGCCTGCTTCTGCATCCCGCCACGTGGCCCGCTAGTTCTACAATATTCTAATCTGATCTAGTATATTCAGCCTCTGTATCTGCATAGGAACCCACCAAAAACATCGTAACACCACCATTTGAGCGAGAGTTTATAGACATAAAGCACTTCCACAGTCATTATTGAGTTAATTCTTAGAGTAACCCAGGAATTGTCTCTATTTTAAGATAGAGAAGCTGAGGCTGAAAGACACAAGACCCAGACTTTCTGACTCTTAAATATGTTGCAACTCTCTGCCTCTTACCCCCTCACTATGGCTCTCTAATGACCACTGAGTATTAAATCCATGTCAGGACATATTTTGGCATCGACTGAAACAGTTAATGTGGATGTTAGGTTTAATCAGGTGCTCTTTATGAACTCACATCACAAGTAATTTCTATGGTTTATTTTATCCTTTATGGTGAAAGACTGCTCGAGGTCTTAGCCAGCAGTTACGTTTCTTTGCTTTATCAGGAGAGCAACAGCTTAGGGAAAAACAGGTCCCTACCCTTGAGTTCTGATCTGACTCGGCCTATAGGATTGATTGCCTTCCTGGCACTGAAGACAGACACTCGCAGAATGCCTGTCCCCTCTGTCGTATCATCACTCCGCAAATGTGCCAAATTGGAATCCCTCTATCACATCTCCTGCTGGGCAAAATGCCCTTTCTTGGTACCAAACCTTAACAGGAAAGAGCCCAGTTCTGCTCTCCCTTGTTGCTCCCTCATTCAAAGGAAATACCTGAAACCTGAGGGATAGAAAAGTGAGACAAGAAAAAGAATATTTTCCAAGCTTTTTAAAGCATAAAGTTATGATATATTTCATCTCTGCCAATTCACATGTAATCAACCTATGAAATTATACTCAGAAGCCAAGGGTTGGGTCAGGGATCTTTGCCGATGATGGTGCTCTGTGACTTAGAGGGGTCCTGTTCTCATTGCCAGAAAGAAGAATGTAAAGGAAGGACTGAGTTCAGACTTGGACCCTGTTATGAAAAATAATTTTAAAATACAGACCACTTGACTGTTGTGGGTGAGGCCTACAGGCTACACGAGATCGGATGTGGCAAAGCCATACAGTGGGGCTGCTCTGGGAGGAAGTGGGGCACAGTGGTTTTGAGCGGAGCTTTGGAGACAGACAGACCTGCTCGAGAGTCCTGGTGCTGCCACTCACCTGCTGTATGGCGTGGATTTGTCATATGAGTGTGCCGAGCCTCAGTTTCCTTGTGTAAGATGGTGGTGCTCATCAGAGCGTGGCCACCTGCATACCACGTGGGGACGTGCCGCACACCCCAGTGCCAAGCAAGCAGGCCCGTTCGAAGCACTCAACAAGCAGCCGCCTTAGAGCGCTTTTAACTCCCTCGTCACTCAGACTCATTTCATCACGCTGGGCTAAGTGAAAAAGACTAGGATGAGCAACTCAACCACTCGAATCAACTCCGTAATGTAAACAAAGCATATTTAGCGTCGCCCATTGGAACAGTTAAGAATCAACATCCTATCGTCCACAAAAAGGTTGTGCCAGTTTTGAAGTGTAAGAAACGGGTGCCTGAGTCTAGGCAGGCACACAGAAATACATGCTCATGTGGCACATACATTACATGGATTCCAACAAAAATGACCTACTTTCACTTCTTACCCCTGCGAGGCTGGCGGAGGTCTGCTTCCTTCTCATACCCACTTCTCGACAGGGCAGCCCAATTCCTTCCCTCTCTCCAATTCAACACAAATTTGTGCAGCTACGGTTTCTTCCCTGTGCCGGCCCTGGGGACATCGAGTCACGTAGGTGGATCTGCCTTCAAGGACTCCTAATCTAGTGGGGGGGAGATGGACACCCATTGGCCTCAATTTCTGCCAGATCCCATCACTGGGGAGGGTTTACACATGGGTTCCTGTTCTCAGGTGTGAGGGTTCACAGAGGGAACCTTCAGGCTTGGCTCCTGCCGATAGGTGGAGGCTCACTGGTGTGCCTGTCCAGGTGACCATGCCCTCTCTGGCCTTCCCTTCCTTCTTTGGAATGGAATCACCTCCTTTCCGTCACTTTGAGTCAGGCACCTGGACTTTCCCATTCTGAGAGATACCTCCGCCCCTCATTCCCTTCAATAAGGAAGAAAAGCTTGGGGACAGCCAATGTCAGCGAGTAGAAGCTCATTCTTGCTAGCAAGCTAAATAGTCCCACCCTAAAGCCGGCCCTGAAGGAAAAGCTGTGTGAGTTATTTAAGATCGTTTGCATGGTGACAGAAAGGATGAAGACTGACAATGATAGTAAAGAAGGTGAGCCCCCATCGCCTCCCCTGCCCAGTCAGCTTTTAAGCCCTCCAACCCTCTGGATGTGCAATACAGAGAGCTGGATACAGGGGCTCTCAAGTCAAGGGACACAGGAGAGGACAAGCCACAGGACTGGAGGACTAGAGATCGCTGGGTGGAGGCGGATACATAAGCCCAGGGAACTGAGGGACCCTCAGGCCCCAGAGACTAAGATCCAGGTTTCAGGCCCTTTACTGCATACTGCATGTGGATGAGAGAGAAGAGTGGAGATGAGCACAAATTTTATTTTGACATGGATTATAGCTATAAAGACTTGACCACATAAGGAAACTGAAAAATTCGTCTGGTTATGTCAACATAAGTTTAATCATAGTCATTTATGCCAAGTGCCTCACCATGTGTATGTAATGGCCACTTTCTACCATAACAACGATGTACTTCCATAAACGTGGTTCAGAGTAGTTCTGAGTTTTATTTGATTAGGTGAGTAAATGATGTACCTGGGCACCAGCCTTCCCAATTTCTTCCTCAAATTACACAGTCTTCTGTTCTCAACTTTAACAGATGATCAATACCATTGCTTTTAAGCTATTAGATAGCATAGGGTTTGACGGGGTCCCTCTTAATTCAGTATTTTCCTTAATAACTTTTTATTATCTGAAAAACTGCTATCCAGTTTTCCTGTTCCCTGTGCTTGGAAATTGTGATTTTTTAACTCAGGTGCTTCATATTCATGAAATAGTGAAGCTGTAAGGTCTACCTTTTTTCCCCTTGCACACACACATATGGACATAGACACCTTACTAATTACTCTGATTAGATCCTAAAGTTAATAAATTACATTATCATCCAGCTTAGTGACGAGCTCGAATAACAAAGGCCCCAGATAAGCACCGTCCAGAGCACTGAGCCTCTCTGGTTCACAAGGCCTACCACCAGCTAGTGGCCAGTGCCAGGAAACCCCAGGCAGAGTGCGCAGTTCCCGAAAGGAAAGGGAGATTGTTAATCCTGTTCCAAGCTCTGCTGCTACTACTTGGAGCGGTCTGACTCTCTACCCAGGTTTTCCTTTCATGTTTCGGTAAATGAACGAGAAATACTTAGTGCATAATGGGAGTTCTTTGGGTGACAGGTAGTATAGTAAATGAGAAGTGCTTTTTTGTTTTTGGGGTTCTTTTAATCCTCACCAGAGGATATTTTTTCCATAGCTTTTCAGAGAGAAAAGGGAGGGAGACAGAGAGAGAAACATTGATGTGAGAAAGGCATCAACTGTGTTGCCTGCGGCACAAGCCCCGACCAGGGCCAGGGATCAAGCCTCCAACCGAGGTACGTGCCCTTGGCCAGAATTAAACCCGGGGCCCTTCACTCTGTGGGTCAATGCTCTAACCACTGAGCCAAACCGGCTAGGGCAAGAAATGCTTTTTTTAATAATTACAGGAAAAAAGGCCGGTACCTGTTTAAAATCATTAGGTAGTATTAAAGTATCATGTTATTAAATGTATTTTATATACAAACTGAATAACAGCTGGGTGGAAAATTAATCGTAAGGATTGGTTGATGGTCTTTTCAAAATTCGATTACCTAGTAAAATCTAGTAGGCAAGTGGCTTCAACAAAATTACCACTTCAGGTGAAAATAACACTACAAACATATGGCAGAGTCTTGTAAGGTCATTTCACACATACGGCTGCATGTGTTTGTGAGTGTGTAGAAAAAGACTTCTCAAGCATGAAAACTAATTATACAGGGTGTCCCCAAGAAAATGTATATGCACTTTGAATGATTATAAAGTCAGTGTTTATTAACATACAGTCCATTTTCAAAATTTAAAAGAATCTACAGAAATATTTAATTTTTTTTTAGTCAATACCTGTTTTCAAACTGATGACTGTTCTGACTGCTGATAATGTGAAGCAATGGAATTGCAAACATCAAGAATCACTTCATTCGGTATTTGTGTCCCCTCAATTCGTCAGCTGTTGCTGGTTTTGTACCATAAACTTTATCTTTTATGTATCCCCATAAAAAATGTCTAGTGGCACCTTAGGATAAATTTTCTTTGTTCAGAGCTTAGTCTGGCTTCACCCATTATTTCAGATCAGTTAAACCCAAAAAGGAGTAAAAATTAAGTGAGTTATCCTCTGTTTAAGTATGTATACATTTTGGGGGGACACCCTAGATACAAGAGCTCTACATTTTGTTATCATTTAAATAAAATGTGTCCTTAAATATAGAATTCTTTGGAAAACTCACTTCATTGTCCAAAATTATGAAGACCATTTTAATTTTTTAATCAGAGATAGAATATTCATTACAGCTCCCCAAGAGATCCCATAGTTGGACTGGATAAGGAGTTCATTTGCAGAGTGTACTTAATAAAAACATCCAGTGGCTAAGTCCCATCAACAAACTATATCCAAGAGGAAATGCTGCTCGGGATGTACCCAGAAAGAGCATCAACCCTTGCTGGTGTGCTTGCTCTTCCTGTCCCCATTAGTCTTTGGGGTGAGAAAATGAGTGTTGGGTGGAGTCTCTTGGAGGTTAGAAGATCTTGCACTCGTTAATGGAGAAGAGCTTCCTCCTGTTGCGCCTCCTGGCTTGGTTGACGGCAGTTCGGACGGCACACTCAAACACCTGCTGTACTCCCCGATTGCTAAGGGCTGAGCACTCCAGGTAGCCCTTTGCTCTCACATCCTGGGCCAGTCTCTTCCCATCTATGGCACTGATGCAGGCGGCCCTGTGGGGCCCCATCTCCCGCTGGTCAGTTTGGGTAGCCACCACCAGCACAGGGGTACAGGGCAAATTGTTCCTGATCTCATCAATCCACTTGTTCTTCAAGTTCTGGAAAGAGTTATGGTTGGCCACAGAGTAGCACATCAGGACCACATCGGCCTGCTGGTAGGACAGGGGACGGATGCTTTTGAAGGCGTCATTGCCAGCTGTGTCCCAGAGACCCAGGCTGATCTGCATGCCGTCCATGAAGACATCCACGCCCGTGTTCTCATACACCGTGGGCTTGTAGGCCTCGGGGAAGGTCTCTGAGGTGAAGCGCACCAACAGGGAGGTTTTCCCCACAGCGGAGTCTCCCACCAACACACACTTAATGGAACTCAGCATCTTCGCAGCCTGGCTCCCTAGTTATAAGTTCAGAATCCCTGAATGGCTGAAGCAAAAGCCATTCAACACAGGGAATAAAAAACAGATGGGTTTGTGTTCTCAAGACCCCCGACAGCGATTTGCAGAATGTCACTTCTCTCCATCCACCCGAGAGAGCTCCAAAGTCTGTTCTTCACCTGCAACAGAAAGAGAAGAGGGAAAACTGAGTCTTTCTTTTTCCTTTTTTGATGGCTGGGCACTTCCTCACTGGCAAGCTGATCACACACGGGGGCCCCGGCCGTGGAGCCATTCTACCCCACTCGTCTAACCCATTCTTCCCCAGCAAAGAAGCCTTGGATCTGTTATCCCCCAGCTTGTGCACCCACAACTCCACCCAGTCAAGAAGCAGAAGCTGATTTTATCTCAAAAATCAGCCTAGTGATAAAAACACAGGCAACTGCTCTGATCACAACTTAAAAAAGGCCTCAGTAGCAACCTGGCGTGTGAATGAGACGTTTTCAAACAGCTCTCCGACTTCCGCTCCAAGAAGCAGGGAAGGCAGCTGACAGCGCTCTCTGCCCTAGGTTTCTAATGGATGCCAGCCACTTTGGGAACTGCAAGGAAGAGAAATCTAATGAGCCACCAATATTATTAGTACTTCCTTTCATTTATTGATTAAACAGCCAGTCCTTGGTTTTTGTGGGAATCTGTGTTGAGGTCAGAGAAAAGAAATTTCCAGAACTCTAAACATTTGCTGTTTTTTCCCTTGAGGCTTTTTCCAAAAAGTGGCTACTGAGTTAATGGAAAGAGCACTGTCCTTGGCACTTCTGCATCTGAGATCAGGCCCTATCACTTGTACAACAACATGGCTTGGAGGTCACACTACGTGGTCTCCAAGCCTCATTCTGCACATCTGCAAGATTATGACAAATTTAGCAACTGCTTCTCAGAGATGTTGTGGGGATTAAATTATTTCTTTCAATGTTTTTGGATAGCTACCTAAATACATCAGGTACTCTGCTAGGCCCCGGGTTAAACAAAATAACTAGGCCCCCGGTTAAACAAAATAAAAGTAACCGTATTCAGTGCCTGTCACTTAAACAGGATTGCATACATATGACAGAATCCAAATTTCATGAAAGGGTCAAATAAATTCTTATTTGCTGCAAGTGAGAGAGTTCCAGACGATGAGATCAGCTGCAGAGACAGTGTCTGGTTTGCCAAGGGACATCGTCACAAGACCAGCCCAGCTTCAGACAAAGGAAAGGTCTTTCAGAACAAAATCCAGAGTAAAGTTATTAATACGATCTGGGCTTATAAGCTCCCCCACTGGTGATCTTCCTGACATGTCACATGTAAAGCAATGTAATGCCAACCTAGAGGTCGGCTTCAGTTTTTAAAGATCACGCCTCTAAATCCTGACATTGACTTCGAAAACATTTATCCTTGTCAACCCACAGTCTCTGTTTGTTTAATTAGACAAAGTAGCCTTTGCAAATGAGCTAAGCAAATAAATAATTTATATGATTTTCACATATTCATTTTTTTTAACCACACAAGATCTGGGTGTCCTTAGCCAGGTTACTTAACCTTTCTGAGTCTTGGTGTGTGCTTTTTGTTTTCGTTTTGGGGTGGTTGTTTTTTTTGTTTTGTTTTGTTTTGTTTTTTTCTCATAAAAATGAGAGCAAGAAATGCACCTTTCTCATCTGACTATTGTAAGGATTCCGCACGTGGAGAGACTGGCTTAGCACAGAACCTGGCACGTGGGATCTATAGAGAGCCATCGTGCTACCCGTTTCCACTCCTGTTTATTTAAAATACCAAATATGAATGTCCACAGCACAGGGGGGATTCTATCTGAAGACTCATATTGGGTCACTGTCACATCTCTGTCACCAGACCTCTGAGCCAGGTCTCCCTGGGGCTCCATCAGGCCTCAAACTTTAGATCCTTAGACTTACAGATGACTTAAGCATATGCATTTGTGACCTTGTTACCTAGTTCAAAGCTAAGACCTCGTAAGACAATTTTAAGCTTTATTCTGACCCTAATGTAGCAGGACCAGAACTAGGAAACATGTAAATGTGCCAGACTTTGGGTTATTAAATAAAATCTTTCTAATAGATTAAGTAAAAGCCAAATTTCCTGCCTAAGTATCTACAAAAAGAAGTTGATGAGGCAAAATTGTTAAGAGCACCGGCTCTAAAGTCGGGTAGATCTGGTATTGAATCCCAGCTACCCAAACAGCTACCTGTGTGACAACCTTAGAGGACTTTCTTAATCCCCCCTAAGCCTCAGTTTCCTCCTCTGTAAAATCAACATAATAATACCTACACCACTGGGTTGTTGAAAGTATGAAGTGTACTTAGATGTATAAAGTCCTTAGCATAGTACAGAATGTAACATACTGTATGTACATAGTCAACATATAGCAAACACACAATAAGTAGTCCTTATTATTAATATCACTGTTAGATAATAATTACTAAATATAATGATAAACAATTATTAATGATAAGTGGGGAATTTGAAGTAGCACTAAAGAGGATTTTTCCAACAAAGGATGCTCTGTGTATCTTATATCCAGTTCTGATTGCAAAAACGGGTGGGAGGGGGAGGAATTCATTCATTCCCCAGCCCGTTCTGGCACTCAGAGGCTCATCAAGTCAGTTCTCAGGGCCTCGGTTTCCCAAACAGTAAAGTGGTTGAACAAGATTAGCTTTCTCTGTGGTTCTATTAAAACTGAAGCCAAAGGAGAAAACTTTATTGCCTGCCACAGTGAATACAAGAGCATAAACCTCTGCATTATCCCGTGGCCGTAAGGACGGAAGATCAACTTTGATGACATGCATAGTAGCCTTCAGCAGATGGCTAAATATGGAACTGGGAGAGGAAGGTGGGGGAGGAGCTCTGGTCCAGGTCAGAGCCATACCCTATATAGACATGACAGATCATCTTCAGACGGTGTGTCACATGTGCCCAAGATGGAGCCGCTGTGGGTCACATCGTTAGTGTAGAAGGTTAATGAGCTTGATTTCAGTAGCATTTCTCCTAAAGGGAGAAATCCCCCCCCCAGGAGCATTACCGGGGGGGAACAGAAGCAGGTTTTCAGTGATATCTCACTAGTGGCTCACTGCCAGGGGTGCCTCAATCATATGTCTGCCAATACAGAGGAGTTACAGAGCGTGACTTCAGATAGCACCATGAGTGACCACCGAGTGACCCTTTTAGGACTAAAGCAAACTGGAGTTAAGGGACCTTCCATCCAGGAACCTATCAGGTCTCAATAACTTGATTTCTCTCCCCTCTCTTTTCACCGTCTTCACAGAAAGACCGCCTTCAACAGGCCGCTATGTTTCACACACAGACAGAGGACAGAGAGGGAGCTTCATCTTGCAAAGGCAGGGGTGTCGGGTGCTCCTGGCTACTGTAGCCAAGGGACAAAGGCAGATGGAAGGGAGGCCTTAGGGATGAGCACCCTGGTCCATGCCATCTTCTGGAGCGCTGAGGGCTGTCCAGTGGGAAATCCTCAGTTCTCATCCAAACCAACAGGTACCCACTCGGCACCACCACTCTTTCTTCAGACACACTCTGTGCATCTCTGTTTGCCTGGAAAGACCTGCCCTTCACTCACCTCCCACCCCGCAACTAGCACCTCTTTTTGAAACTCTTCTTTGATCATCTGACCACTTGGCAAACCAGGTGCCCCCTCTGTGTGGCCACACTAACCCCCACTCCCTGTACCTCTAACATCATCATCATCACACTCCACTGAAATGTTGGCCCTCTTGTGTTTATCCCTCCTCTGTGAAACTGAAATAAGATCTACCCTGCCCTTCTCACAGGGTACTTAATAAGGTTCAGTGGAAATAATAACAATATGGCGATAATTTGTGCTTGGAGTCTCACAAGACTTTGTACATTTGTTAATACGCTCTTGTTTGTTATGTAAGAAAGCCCCTTCAGAATGATAGAGCACAATATAAAACTTAGGTGAAATTATGAGTATTATTAACTAATAATTATTATAGCAGGTTTCAGGTTATCTGGACTTTATGAGGTGGCTTACTTCAAAATGCTGATGGAATCCTCACCTGTTTTCTTTTTTCAAAAATATGAACCTATGGTTTGTCCCCATGTATAAAAATTAATTCAAAATGGATCAAAGACCTAAATATAAGAGCTGAAACAATAAATTACAGAGAAGAAAACATAGGTACTAAACTTATGGACATTGGTCTTGGAGAAGATTTTATGAATTTGACCCTGAAGACAAGAGAAGTAAAGGCAAAAATAAATGAATGAGACTATATCAAACTAAAAAGCTTCTGCACAGGCCCTAGCTGGGTAGCTCTGCTGGTTAGGATGTAGTCTGGATATGCCAAGGATTTGTGTTTGATCTCCAGTCAGGGCACATACAATAATTAACCAATGAATGCATAAATAAGTGGAACAATGGATCAATGTTTCTCTCTCTAAAAAAATTAATAAATAAAAAAAATAAAATAAAATAAAAAGCTTCTGCATAGCCAAAGAAACCACCAACAAAACACAAAAGCAACCAACTAACTGGAGAAGATATTTGCAAACAACAGCTCTGACAAGTGGTTAATATCCAAAATATATAAAAAACTCATGCAGCAACTCAACACCAAACAAACAAGCAATCCAGTTCAAAAATGGGCAGAGGACACTTCTTCCAAGAAGACATCCAAATTGCCAACAGATATATGAAAAGATGCTCAGCTTTACTAGCCATTAGGGAAATGCAAATCAAAACCACAATGAGATACCACCTCACGCCTGTTAGAGTGGCTGTTATCAACAAGACAAGCAATAGCAAGTGTTGGAGAGGTTGTGGAAAAAAGGGAAACCCTCATTCACTGCTGGTGGGAATGTAAACTGGTATAACCACTATGGAAAACAGTATGGAGGTTCCTCAAAAAATTAAGAATAGAGTTACTATCTGACCCAGCAATCCCTCTCCTGAGTATACACCCAAAAAACTCATGCAAACATGTATTTGCAGATATAAGCACCCCTGTGTTCATTGCAGCATTATTCACGGTGGCCAAGACATGGAAACAACAAGTGTCCTTCAACAGAGGACTGGATAAAGAAGGTGTGGTGCATGAATACAATGGAATACACTCAACCATAAGAAAAGATGAAATACTACCATTTGTGACAACATGGATGGACCTTGAGAATACTATGCTAAGCAAAATAAGCCGGAAAAAGCTAAAAACCATATGATTTCACTCATACGTGGAAAATAAAACTGAAACTCATAGACACAGACAATGGTATGTTGGTTACCAGAGGGAAGGGGTTTGGGGGTAGTAAGGGGTAATGGGGCCAAATATATGGTGATGGAAGATCATTTGATTTTGGATGGTGGGCACACAACATATATCATGGAAATGTACATTTGAAAGCTATATATTCTTATTAACCAATGTCACCCCAATAAAAAAAATAAAGTAAATGTTTTCCTTTAAATTTGAGATTCTTCTGATTTTAAATGAAAGTAAAGAATTATTTTAAAATCATGGCAGCCATTGGCCAGGGATGGCCTGTCCATTACAGAGAATACATCTAAATGCATGCTCCT